CTATGCTATGTCTTGTTATCAATTCCCATTTATTAATTTTACATTCTTTATTTCTAATCTTGGGTATTTTAAAGTAATTTAGATATGTATTTTTTAAAGTGTACTTTTTATTGTAATGATTACATTGTCTAAAATGTTAATTATTATTTTTACCATTTTCAATAATTATTTAGACTATTTTAATACCCATCTCTTTCACTTTACCTTTATTCTATTCCAATCTTGTTGAGTGTGTGTGTGTGTATCATCCTTTTCTAAAGTACTTTCTATTTCATTGGTTATCTCTTTCCCAGTTGATTTACTCACTTCAATTTATTTTTTTTCAGGGTTTATTTTTTTTTCCAGAGAGCTGGTTAAATATTTACAAATACCACATTAGGTGTAAGAGTTTGGGAGAAAGGCCATGTTTACAAATGAGATTATATCTTTATAATTTTTCCCCAAGACATTTTAGAATCTATCTCTAGGGTCACAAGTATCTTTTATTATTTAATGATATGTTTCTTGGTCACATTCTATTAACCAATGCTATTTTTAGATGACTAGTGCATATACAACCCAACTGTATGTAGTTCAAGGTGTGTTGACAATTATACACTGAAAATTTTAAGTATTTTACTTCTATTATCTAGTCTACTTAAGGCAACAAAAAGGAAATTAAATAACATCTGTCTTAAATCTCAGAATACACTTACACATCTTTTGTGAAATTTTCCATATTTGAAAAATCCCAAATAGTCCCATCTTTATTATCTGTTTATTTAATTTTTTTTTTTTGGTGTTTACATTTTATTACAGCAAAATACAGCATAACATGATTTACTCACTTTTAAAAGGCACATTATATTTAGCATCTTCCTACAGAATAATAAGTACCAATATACTTAAAATTTTCTATCTCCAAAATGAGTTTAATCGAAGTTATTCTGTTTCCATCATGTTTAAAAGTTAGTGTATCATTAAAAGAAGGGAAATTAACAAATTGTTGTCTTTATTATCATTATATAAAATCCCATTTCTATTATTATTTCTGAGCTAATTATAGATTTATTAATAAACTAAAATACACATTGCTCTTTTTAAAATGTATTCAAAAGATGTTCTTGATTTAATGCAGTCATTGAAAATCATTTTATAGGTACTATACCTGTCAAAAGAGCTATTTGCAACTTAAATGCTAAAACTTTTTAGGTTGGACTCAGGATGGTCCACCTTACCTTGAATTGTGTTCTAGGAGGAATTGTGTTATAATGTGGAAACAATGTAGTAACAATGGTACAATAAAGCTTTTAAAAATAGCTTTAACTTATTGTTCCATTGTGTAAGAACTTTTCCTTGCATTTGTCAAAACATGTTGCTGCTTCATGAACTGTGAAATGTATGTACATATTTAAAGAACATCACAAGAATTCATAGACACCAAAACATTCAAAGATCTACTATTTTTAGCATAATTTCATAGAATCTATTTCAACAAAGAGTTCAGGAGATAGAAAAATAAATTTATTTTGATCTCCTTATGTATTTCTGTAATGAAATTAATTTTCTTTTATCCCATCTATTTTATAATCCTTCAATACATCAGAATTCTGTTTGGCTCTTATTGTGTATATGGCTGTAACCATACACTCACATGTATGTTAGAATCACCTGAGAAACTTGTTAGAAATGCAGGTCCTGGGTCCTACACCAAATCTACTGAGTCACAATTTCTAGAAGGAGAGCCAAAGTGTCAATAAACCTCAAAGGTAATTCTGATGCCTACCAAAGTTAACAAACCACTGCTTTAAAATTTGTAACACCAAGGTCAAGGGTTTGGATTCTCATACCGGCCAGCTGCCAAAAATTAAAAATAAAAATAAAAAATTCATGAAACTTGGAAGTTGGATGTTAAAGCTAAAGCTTCGTTCTTGCTTCTCAAATAGCACAAGTTAAAAACACAGACACAGGCCGCTGGAGAGTGCGCCGCTTAGGAGCACGGCGGTACTCCCGCTGAGGGTTCGGATCCCATGTGGAGACAGGTTCCCGCTCACTGGCTGAGCGCAGTGCGGACGCAACACGGAGGGTTGCGATCCCATTGCCAGTCAGTAAAAAAGACAAAAAAAGGGGAAAAAAAAAAAAAAACACAGACACAAAATGAAGAAGTACTGGACATGAATATTCTGTAGTTTCTTTCTGTGGAGAAAAGGTGGTGGCCGAAAATAGGCTTTTTTGTTTTGGGGTGGGGTGTTTTAAAAATATATTTAGAAAGTTAATAAAATAAAGATAAATACAGAAGACTAAATTTTTTTCCATAAGATAACCCAAAGCAACAGGCAATAGTAATAAGCTATATTATTAGCAGAAGAAATTTCAAGAGTGTTTTGATTATTTATCTAATTTTGAGAGAATCCATTGAATTATGTAAGTTGACTAATTTAAAAACAGTTCTAAGGATAAAAACTACTCCTTAGTGAAGAAGAGTAAGCATAGGTTGACATGCTAAGACACATAATTACATGCTAGGTATTTGGAAGCTTTTTTTTGTCCTAACCCCATCATTAAATTTTTTTGAGGGTCTGAGAGCTAAAATTGTCATAGGTAGTAGTCAACTCAGAGGATTATCATTGGCCAAAGCTCAAAATGACCAAAATTATGATCTCCATATATAGAAATTTTTACATCCCTACAATAGACAAATATCTACATAAGGGACATTCAAGCCCCTAACTCATTTAAGACTGCAGAAATAAGACTGTTTCTCAGAATTTGTTGCAAAGAACCTCACTAACAGCATGGTTGAGTTTGTCATGTAGGAAAATCCCTAAGGATAAATAAATCTCCTGATCTATGTCCAGAGCAGTTAACCCAGGCACAAAGGTAGTGATAGTGGCCCAAGATTTGAAAGGATAAAAACAAACAGAAATTAAGGGGAAATGTCTAAAAATCTATCAAAGCCTAGACCTAGTACATGTATAAGTAGGGCTACTAGATAACGAACACAACACCCAGTTACATTTGAATTTCAGATAAATAACAAATCACTTTTTAGTATAAGCATATTTTAATGTATAATATAATATATAATATACTCTTTGTATTGTATATTTGGAATATACAAAATATGCTGAATTATACTAAAAATATATTGGTTGTTTATCTGAAATTCTAATTTGACTAGGTATCACATGTTTTTATTTGTTAAATCTGTCATCCCTATGTATAAAGTACTTTGTACAACTCTCTACATCTCAAGGAAAGGATGCTTAATAGCCATGATTATTTTATTAGCTTTTAGGAGAACCACTGGTATTTATATCTTGCTAAGTTGTAAAAATATCTTTTCCATCTTGATCTTCTTTTTCTGCCTTATCCCCCTCTTCTTTATATATATTATCAGATGAAACATGTTAGTTGAAATTGAAATGGAAAGGAATGAAGCTCAAAAAGGGGTGAGAAAGGCAGATCACAACAGGTAAAATGTGGCAATTAATGGCTTCTTTAGGAGATCTTTCCCTGGCACATAGTAGTTACTTAATAAATCATCGTTTAAATGAATGAACCAGTAAAGGAGTAGTGGAAAAAAAGATCTTTGTTCTGCCATTCTTTAAACCAGAAACTCTCTAAAGTTATTATCATCCAGTCTGAAAATATTTTATATGTGAAAACTCTGGTGCACTATGGAGTTGATGGAAACATCTAATCATACCATAGTGTAGAGAACTTTCCAATGCTTTATATTATACAACTGTGCTCTAGAATCTTGCTATACACAGTATGGCCCAAACGCCAGCAGCATCACATGAGAGCTTGTTAGAAGTGCTGAAACTAGGGCCGGCCCATGGCTCACTTGGGAGAGTGTGGTGCTGACAACACCAAATCAAGGGTTAA